AAGTGGGAGGGGGGGTGAAGAAAGAAGACACATCCATCATCGTTTCGGGAAAGGGTCAAATGGAGCTGGTAGCCAAGCATGAATATTTAAATTTGGCAGCCGCTGCAGGCCAGCTTTCCTTACAGAAGATGTTGATGACGAGGGCATCGGGAGACAAGTCGAGCAGAAACCACTGAGATGGAGAAAAATGACCTCACGTTGTCATTGGTGAGAACTGAAACAGCTGATGACTCGAACTGCTCGACCAATGCCGAGTCGGGCTTTCTTTACTGTGATGAATTATCAAATCAATCAAGTGGACTTTATCTGTGTTTCACCAGACCGATATTCCGGAAATATTGTGAAATAAACTGTTTCTTGATTTTTTTTTTTTTTTTTTTTTTATTCCTTCTGTGCATGAATTCACAATTTCTGTAATTGAGGATCATCATACAGGTGGCCCGGTGGTCCAGTGGTTAGTGCATCGACCTCACACTGCGGCGGTCGTGGGTTTGATCCCGGCTCCGGCCTCCCTGTGTGGAGTTTGCATGTCCTCCCCGGGCCTGCGTGGGGTTTCTCCGGGTACTCCGGCTTCCTCCCACATTCCAAAAGCATGCATGGCGGGCTGATTGAACACTCGCAATAAAAAAGCTGAAAAGTGTTCTAAAAACAATAGAGCTTTTATTGATAGGATTTAGAAATATATTCACTCCAACAGGTTTTTGCCAAACGATGGCGGCAAAGCAACATTTTTATGTTAGACTGGGTTTGTCCTGACCACCAAAAGAGAAAATGTGGGGACTGCCCCACTCTTTTGTATCCAATGGTGCCTTTCAGGGGGACCCAAGGGTGCTTATTTTAACAACCTACTTCAATTTTTAATTTACTTTCAGCTCCTTGAGGTTATTAAGAAGTTACACCGCTTAGATTCGAAGCAGGCGGTTGATTTTATTTCAGGACTAAGCACTCCCACGTTAAATAAATGATTGAGGCACCCCCAATAAACAGCTTTTTGAGTATTTTGGGATGTAAGCCATTTATTAGCTGGCTGCGAGTCCTTGGTTATGCCAAGGAGATATTTTCAGCGCTATAACAACACTGTAGCCAAGTGTTTTGTCATCAAACAGAACATTTCCGAAGTGGGATATGATATTCGCCCTCGCACGCCACTGCTTAATGTTGGCTAGCGAAGGTCCCATTTGCAAATTGACGGCCGAATTAAACAATCCATTAGGGAGGCTCGGCAGTGTGGACCGCAGGCGCTGCCGTGCAATTTGCAGGTTGATTGCCACAGGATGTGCGCGTCTGTCAACTGTGCCAGCTGTTCCTCCCAAGACTGACACTTCCTCTTGTAATGAAAGCCGTGATGAATACTGACGGTCGTGGCTGAACAGCAGATCTCTCGTGCTGGCTTTCCATCTCGTCTATACGTACACACAACGCAGACTCCATGTCTACCCGTTGTCCTTGCTTTGACTATCATACCAAATGCCTCCATGACTCAGCAAAATATTTATTTGCAGGTACTGTATCCGTAATGGTCGTCTCAAGGGGGCAGGCTTCGATTCATCCGTTTATCTACGGTCGTGTCGTGGAGGCAGCAACTTTAACCAGGGAAGCCCAGACTTCCCTCTCCCCAGCCACTTCATCCAGTTCTTTTGAGAGAATCACGAGGTGTTTCCTGACCAGCAGGGAGACATTCTCTCCAGCGTGTCCTGGGTCGTCCCCATACAGGTCCTCTTCCCGGTGCGATGTGTCTAGAACACCTCAGGATGTCCAGGATTCATCCAAAACAAATGCCCGAGCCACCTCAAGTAAGGCCAAACAAGTACAAAAAAATGCGCCCAATGTGCCCAAACATTTAACCCTTTCAGGGACAGCGGTTACGACAGTGGACAACTTATCATGTTATCAGGTTACAATTAAAATGTGTGTCTATTTGAAGGTATCTATCTATATCTATCTATCTATCCATCTAACCATCTATCCATCTATCAATCTATCTGTCCATCGTATTTTTTTCTTTTAAAGTTCATTAGGTCTTTTATTCAAGAAAAAAAAAAAGAATCATTTTTTGTTGAAACTGCCCATAGAAATCAAAATCCAAATTTTGGGCGGGTTCGGTTGTCTCTCGCCCCGCCCACCTGCAGCGTTACCATGTCGACTGCCGGTTTACGTGATGACGTCAGATGTATATGAGCGCAGGCGGCGGGCTCTCGCTCCTCTTTTACCGCCATCAGAGCGGAGTCGTTTTCCTCCTGCCACTCTCGGACCGACTCACTGCGCAGCGCCCGTCTCCCCAGCACTCGCCGCCAGCCACAGAGCTACGGTAAGCAACGGTGTGCGCGCAGGTCCTCCCGGCGGCGCCCTGTTTTAAAGTCACCGTTTGCGAGGCTGCGTTTAACTACAATGGACATTTAAAGCACCGTCAGTGGCGGGTAGGCGGCTAATGCTAGTGAACTGAGAACAGCAGCAGCAGCCATTGAGCCCGACCGTCTCCTCCATGACATGTTCACATTCGATTAACTGTCACGCTGCCACGCTCGATAACGAAGACCCAACATAATAATTCAAGCGGCAACTGAATCGCGCAATGTCACCGTATTCAGGCTTTGTAAGATTTTGGAGTTGACCTTATTTTTTTTGGGGGGGGGGGGGGGTGGGAATCGTGCCGTCAACTAACGCGACAACGACGCGGGAAGGCATGAGGTGAAAAATGCTGTCGATAATGGCGGAGGATGGTTGAAAGTATGTCACGTTGGCACGAAAAAAAAAAACACAAAAGTGTCGATGTGGTGCTTTGTTAGCCTCCTATAATACTGCGAAGCTAACAGGCTAAGTGCATCCGACAATGGGCAAAAAGCAAGGCCGGTGGCTAAAGTTAGCTCCTCGTAGCTCGATAGGATGAACGCGGTTTAGTTGCGTGACAACGCCCGGCTGTTGTTGTTGTTCCCAAATCGACTTGCGGGTGTGTTCCCATACGAAGACTGATGGTATTGATGTGCGCTTTAACTCGATAGATTTGTTCCTCCCACCCCCTACCCCAAAGTCAGCCAAGGTTTGCTCCACTTGAGCAAAGCAACACGTGGTCGGTGGCAGGATCACTGAAAGGGCTTTTGGGACCTGTCGATTTGGGGGCGCGCTCCTGCAGGAGAATGATTTCTTACAGTTTAGTTCTCACAGTTTTTAAGAAGAAGAACATAAAAAAAAAAACGCAACAAACAAATAGAATCCCGTCGCCTCGATTCAACCTTTTCGGATGACATCACTCGAGTGATTGAGAATCAACAGACAAAGCAAAAACATTTTTTTTTTTTTTTTTTTTTTAGCAACCACGTTAAGTTGTAGGTATTTAAATTCAAATGACAGAGGCAATTAGACTTCTTCAATTGACTGTTCGGAAAAACATTTCCAACCAGAAATGTCTTAGTTCGTGTCGCTTTGGCATATTGGAAGAGAACAATCAAAATGCTTTTCTATTAGGTAGCAGACGGTATACAATTGGCCTGTTTTGAAAGGCGCTTATGAAGAAAATGTTATTATTAATATTATGGATTTTTGTTTCCTGGTGTGCCATGGACCAGTATCGGAATGTGACGATAATGATAAACTGAGGGGGAAAAAATATCACGGTATCGCAATTGCAGCAATAAAAAGTATGACTTGGATCAAATAAAAATCTTTTAACCTGCTCCGTGGATGCAGTAGGAAATGAATCAGTTGGATCATTTATTTTTTTCTAATTAAAATAAAAATGCAGGAATTCTTATTTCTCAGGGGGTTAGGGGGCATGGCCCAACTGCAAATAGCTGAAAGATTAGAACAATTATCTTCAATTTGTGTTTAAAAAAAATCATTTAAAAAATAAAATAAATGTTGATGGAATCTTTTTTTTAGTCGACGTCTCTCAACCTTGATTGAGCCATGGCCCGTATTTCACATTTGAACAACACACCACCAAACAACTGTCACTTAAAAAAAACATTTATATGATGGTGTGAATGTTTGTTTTGAACATGAAGACAATAATCAGATGACAGCAGTAACTACCGCCCTCTTGTTCGTGTAAGCAGCGCACATGGGTCCACTTATAACTGCTGAAGCCACAAAAAACAAAAGTTGGAATAAATCGTCCTGACCAATAAATTCCCAGCCCTAGTCCAGTGTTAAAATAGTTGCTTGCATCCCGCCGTAGAACAATTTTTGCTCATTTATTGACCCCCCCTCGTTTGGAAATGCCTCGCTAATCACATTTTGTGCAACATTACCATTATTAGAAAACTGTACGCTCCACTGACGACTAAAAGCTTTTGAAAGCACTTTCCCGTCAATAACACGACAGACTAGTAAGTATCCCGGGTAAGATGACTGCATCCTGCACCAGCATCGTTTCTGCCGTTTTCTAGCCCGCTTGTATTGCCGCTCAACGGCACCACGCGACTGCATTATGTTTCAACGGATCCAGAAGTTCGGAATGTGCATTACTTTCGCTGTTTTTTTTGGGGGGGGGGGGTTTAAGTTTGAAATTGAGTTTGCTTGTGGTCATGTAAATGCCGCATTCAGTACCAGCCAATTCTGGACCGAGTCTGAAAAGACGTTTAAAAACGTCTTTGGGAGTGAATGAGTTAATATTATTTTTTTTTTTTTTATGAATAACCTTTTTGGAAGTGCTGCCTAAATTGAGCCTCCCAGCCTGCTGCTTTGAGTTCAACAAAGCCGGGAAGTCTGCCTACTACTCCCTCCCTTCTTTTGCATCCTGAGTCGGACGTGTACTGTTTAGGCAAGGAGTGTAATTTAAAAAAAAAAAAAAAATGAATTCTTCGATGGCTCGCCTTCTGTTCCGAATTGGTGTAAATGGAAGCCAGACGCCAATGAATTCTCCAAATTTTAAGCTCGCAGTCAAAACCGATGACGGCAGAGGATTTGGCTACTTCCTTGTCGTGGTTTTTTTTGTGCCTTGTCAAACATAATCCCATAAAATTAAAGTTTTTTTTTTTTTTTAACTTGATAAATCTTGGACGGCTCGTCCTGCTCCTCCTGCCGACTCAGCCATCTAAATCCAACTGATGATCGCGAGGGTTCTTACGTGCGCGCTGTACACTTCGACACAGGTGACACATTAAAATAAGCTTGCCTGCCACCAGTCACAACGGACTTGCGACTACGACAACGGCATGTCATGAATAATTCCAAGTCGTCGGCCCCGTTTGTCATTCAAGTATTGCCTCGCTCATTGTTTTTCGCTTCCTGTCTTTTTCAGCATCGCCTGAAACTCAGCTGAGATGGCAGACATTGACAAGTGAGTATGAGCGTCAAGTCAAACTTTGGACAGTTTCGGGCCGAATGTCTTCGGGAGCACGTTTCAGTTTGAAGCCCCGCCCACATCCATCTCAAGTCGCGTCGGTTTTACACCTCGTACGCGTATAACGCCCCCGTCTTCTTCACCATTTTCCTCAAGAGTCTCGATAGTCTTCCCGGCAAAGTGGCAAATGGATAAGATTCCCGCCGCTGATGTTGAATAGTCGTCCCGTGCATCCCTCTTGTCAAGGTGTCATGTTTCTGTCATTGCAAAAAACAACACGGCCTCTCTGTTGAGTGTGAAATGGCGTCGGTAAAAGTCATTCCCTCGATCGCTCTTGATTGGCCGGTGTGTTAGTTTGCTGGATGGGCTCCCGCGTTTGCCCGTTTGGCTGACCTTTCCCCTTCTCGTCTCCGCCACGAACAGCAAAGACCAAGCTGAGATGGACCCGGCCGATATGGAAGACGTGGAGGAAGTGGAAGAGGAGGAGACGGTAGAAAATTCCAAAAGCAAAGGTAGGTTTTTGCCGTTTCAGTGCTCCCTAAAAAAAAAAGTCTCTTCCGTTCCCATTCGGGCCGGACTGTTAATCGAATTCAAATCGAGATTGTGATGCGGCGGAACGCAATTTTCAAAACGCAAAGGTCTCAATTTTGACACCCGTTTCATTTCGGTAGGTGGCTAGGCGTTATTTGTTTTGGTTGCGTCATCAATCATCCGCCAATATATTTGGAAACGTGGTCAAACTACAGCTCTGCTTACCTTTTAGCGCTTTCGGGACTCAAACTGTCACTTGAAAATTGCTACGCCGAGCTGCAAAGTCATGGTCGGAGAAACTCGGAGGCCGTTGGGCGACTTCATGTAAATTCCCTGAATAATGACCCGTTTTCAAAAATTTAACTGCCAACTGATCACAAACTAATTAAAAGGGGAGGAAAGTGAGTTTAAGTAATCGTTTGATCACTCAGTGGGACCTTTCTGCGGCAGTGACCTGCCAAAAAAGAACGAGAACATGTTTTCAGACCTTTCCAGCCATGTTGAAGCACTACACACAAACTCAGGAGAGTAACGGCACAGGCGCGACGACAATACGCGGGGCGTTCTGGGCTCTTGGAGCCCGCTTCGAATGCAATCCGCCGTTACCGTGCCAACGGCAGAGGCACTTGGTCCCCTCGTTACGGAGCAAAACGTCGTTGAAATGACCCCATATCGTTGCTTTTTCAAGGCTGTGACACAATTGCGGGGGGGGGGGTGATTAGGTTTACTCAACTCTCTTTTAAATCCACTCCAGAAAGCAGCGTCGCGCGATTCAAATGGATAGAAAAAGAACGTTTTAATTGCCCTTTGTGCCCAGCGCCAATTCAGTTCTGAGCTCGCGCTCCATTCAGTTCTTTCCAAAGACGACCGTAAAAACGGAATTAGTCTGGCTGCATGTTCGCTTGCTGACGCCGTGTGTGTGTGCTCACAGTGTGCTGCTGTCTCTCTAACTCCTCCCCCTTCTCTTCACTGAAGCGCGTGTGTGTGTGTGTGTGTGTGTGTGTGTGTGTGTGTGTGTCCACAGCTCGTCAGCTGACAGAGCAGCTTATGCAGAATCCACAGATCCTGGCTGCGCTACAGGAGGGGCTTGACGGCCTGAACGGTTCACCATCAGGGTACATTGAGAGGTAACGGCAACATTTCGGGGATTGTTAGCGAAGCAATTCTGAAACTGAATGAATGAGTTTTGCAAAGATGACTCTTGTCCGCAGATTTGCCGGTCGCCTCTTTTGCAGCATCCAATGTGCCCTAAGAAGGATTCCTTGTGCCAGAATAGTGCAGGCGTATTCATTTACCTCACCGCAGAGAAACTCGAGTCTGGGCGGCTTGAAGACCGCCCCTTCATTTCCTGGGCGCTGCTCCAGCGGGCTGGTGGCACAAAACAAATCGTTGATTTTTTTTTTTTAGAAGCGCCATCAGAAGTCAGGTTAGGTCGTTTGATGGGAGCGCTGACTCAATTTGGGTCTCTGGGGGCTGACTCATGCGGTCGAAAAATAAAACCCGGGCTCCTTTCATGTAGGGAATGAAAGGTGGTTTTTTTTTTTCCTATCATGAGGTGTGCTTCTGAGCAGAAATTTAAGTCATTGGTTGGTTTTTTTTTTTTTAGTCATGGCCACAAGGCTCAGAACGTCGCTAACTGAGCAACACGGTGCTTTTGTTAAACTATCTCCACTTTGGTGGTCGAAACGGTGAACAACATCAGCGGGGTTTGCACTTGAAACCACGCACGCCGCTCAAAAATGTCAAATGTCACCCACCCGACTGAATTTGATGCTTTGCGAACTTCACCCCCTTCACTTTTGGTCTCCCGATTGCCCCCATGATATTTCCTGAGAGTTGCGCCATTTTGTGTTCAGTTTACCAAAGGTTGTGAAGCGGCGCATCAACGCCCTCAAGAACCTGCAGGTCAAGTGCGCCCACATTGAGGCCAAGTTCTACGAGGAGGTCCATGAGCTGGAGAGAAAGTACGCCGCCCTTTACCAGCCGCTCTTTGACAAAGTACGTCACCAGCAGCACCACAAATCAATACACCCCCCCCCCCCCCCCCCAGGGGCACCATTTTTTATTTTTTTTT